TTTTTTTTTTTTTTTTTTTTTTTTAAGGTGTTTTAACGGGAAAAAAAATATGCTGAAACCAAGTACATAGTGGGTCTGGATGGAACCCACGACAGAAAAGAAATTTAGAGTTTCATTTTTTGCTCAGGGCGTAGCTGGTGGCTTGCAGAGCCATCCAGCTCAACATCTCCAGTAGGATGTGGTCTGTGGGACCAGTTTGTCCCAGTTTGTGTCTGGTGGACAAAAATCCACGTGGCCAAAGGAGGTTACCCGACCTGTCTCCCAAGGCTGCTGTGGTTTCATGCCCTGCTGAGGGGGAGCTGCTTCTCTGTGCAGGAGCAGGTCCCCCCCTGCTCTGCTGTCCTCTGTCCATCCATCTCTGGGCTGCTGTGCCACACCTGTCCTCTGAACTGCCTGACAGGGATCATCCCAACGAATGTACCTCTGACCTTAACCCCCCTCCCGTGCCTTTGTTTTGCAGCCTGCTCGGCGGGTGCCAGCCAGCTGCACAAAGGGTTGTGAGGTGAATTCCAGGCTTCCTATTCTGGCTGGATGTCTGCAGCGGATCCAGGGGCTGTGTCAGTCCTGATGGGAGGCTGCAGAGCAGAGCACTCCAAGGCAAGCCTGTTGTTGCTCCAGGACAGGGCTCAAGGTGTCCGTCCTCTCCTGGGTGGCTTCACCCCAGCCCTGAGCCCAGGCAGATCAGCTTCACCATCAGAGCAGAGCTGATCTGCCATCCCCCAGGGTCAGGCTTAGCTGGGCTCACCTCGTTGTGCAGGAACAGCCGAGGATCCCCCAGGAGCTGTTTTGCCAAATGCTGTGAATGTATAGGAAGAACCAGTCCCATTCTGTGCTGTAGATCTGCACCCCCTAAATGTGTTCTGCTGGGTTAGATGTGTCCTCCACATGCTCTCAAAGGGCCAAGGGAGACTTTCCAAACAGCCTCACATGGGCAGGTTTTGTTCCTACGTTGAGCATGAACCAAACTCCTGCACTGGGGATCCATAGGGATGTGGATCCCTGTGGTTCTCCGTGCCAGAGGGAAATACTCAGCTGTGGACACCTCTGAGCCTGAATGTCTTAAGTTATTTATAAATATTTTAAAATGCAAGCGCCAAATTCTATATTTTATGTACTTGAGGCCTGATTCTGCATGCTGATTTTGAGTGGTACTCCCACCACATCCCACACTGTTTCTCTAAGGGAGTATCTACCAGCCTCCAGTATTTGGTTTTGTTAGGATCAATTTTAAATGTGACATTTCATATTAAAGCAATTCATTGCTGTTCCTCTTGCCCCTCGCTTGAGGCTGAAAGGTTCTCTTTGATTTCTCCAGTGTTTACCAGAAAAATTCATCTCAGACCATGGAGCAGATTTCCCAAGGACTTTGCAGTGCAGGAAAGCTGTAGGTTCAGGTTCCTTGTCCGTAGAAAAATCCCAATTACCTCCTTCTTCACCTTTTGTTTTGGCCAGATTTCTTCCTGGAAGACCTGTTGGAGCCAGGTTAAATTTCTGAATAGGTGCATTTGTAGTGGAAATAGTGACAGCCTTTTGATTGCAGAGACACCAGTGGGTGTCATTAAACTGAGCTGAGCCACTTGCTGGGCATATTAAGATATAAAGGTGCAACTGCTTGATGTCTTCTCAAGAGAATAAAAAAAAATCGCTGTGACCTGATTGGGGACAGAGAGATAACAAAGTAATTTTTTTCTCCTTCTGTGCTTTTTTTTTCTCTCTAAAAGGCTGTTTGCTACCATAGGTACCACCCTGTGGTACCAGGACCAGGAAGGCTGGTGGGAAGGCTTCAAATCAGTGGGTAACACTCAGAGCAAACACAGCCAGGCTTGCCAAAGAGGCCCGAGGCTGTGCAGCCATCTCTGCCAGCTTGTCCTTCGTCCAGTCTGAGCAGATTGCTTGCGTGGCCTTTTCTGTAGTGACACAGAAAAAAAAAAAAAAAAAAAAAAAGGTGTTTTTTGTGTTTTTTTTTTTAGTGTTTTCCCTGGCTGTTCGGTGTTGCAGGTCAGGAGCACAAGGAGTCAATCCTAGTTCTCTCTGCTGATTGCACCATTTCTTGTGAAAGAGCTGATGAGTTTAAATCACTCGAATCCGAACCAGGCGGCTCAGCCACCCCTTGGCTCTGCCAGCTGGGAAATTTGGAATTAAGATCTTAAAAAGGAAAATCAGCGTGGCTGGCTGTGCCCTCTCTGTAAATTCAGCTAACACTCCGGTGAGCTGTCCTGGCTGTCTGTCTCTGTAACTGGCTAACAGGTTAAATATTTGACTTGAGCTTACGTGTCATTATCCTCATACCTCATTGGTGAAGTGCTGAAACCATTTTACAGACCTGTAGTGTTATTTGTTTAAGCCACCTTGCCAAAGCTTGTGGTCTGAGTTTTTGTTACAGAAGGACCTAAAAAAAAAAAAAAATAAAGGCAGAGAATCATTTGCATGCTGTGTTTTTCCTTTGACTGCGGAGGTGTTAATTTGTGTAATCAGTAAGGGACAGACAAGTGTATTTGATGTAATTAACTCCTTAGGGGGGGGCTGTGCTGGGAGAGTATCCGGGCTGGCAGGTTC